GGAAAACCATATTACCGTCCATATTCTATACAAGATCAGGTTTTCCCTGAATATTTCCTGAAAAATAACTCCTCACTGGGCCAGGGAATGGTCTAGCTGAAATCGCACGCTGGTCTGGAATCGTATCACTCGTATCTGCGGCTGGCATTGGCTTGTGATCCGTCGCCTTATCCCCCCTGCTAGCCCAAGCTTAAGCGAACTGCGAATGGCCTCGCTTGCCGGGAGTTTATGTAGGGCTGAAAACAATTGAAGCTTAGGGCTGGGAAGGATAAGCATATCTATAAACGAGCGCATGAATATATGTGGTGAGTTAGGCTGAAACTCAGGAAGATGTCCCTAACCGATGGTATGAGGCGAATACGCCTTACCATTTCCCTGTAATCCTGGCGTTACTGTAGTATTGGAACTGGGTAAGTGGCATCTCATTGGTGGCCTGGGCAGTCATCCTCGACCATGAACCCTGCCCACGTTGTATGTAACGTTATGGGGAGATCCTTCTTCAATAGCGTCAGTCCAGGCCCTTACCCATACTCTCCCACGTCGTTAAGTCCGACAGGGTTTGAATCAAGAAACTGGTAAAATGTACCTGCACCCTGCTTTTATGCTTGCGCTTATATCAGGCTACGCGCTTATAATTGCAAGCGTCAGCAGCAGAATGATCATAAATCCGAACTGATGAGATCTGATTAAACAATATGGCACGCTCCTCACGAGATACGCTTTCTGGCGAGTTCGAGAACATCGCGTTCCTGTTCGATTCGAGTCGAAAGATATCACTTGATTTGAAATTTCCAGTCGATACCAGCTATCCACCTTCAACTACCGTTGAGCAAATTCCACCCTACGTTCCACTGGAAGCAAGCGTAAGGGCCCGATGTAGACAGATATGGGTACCATTAACAGCTTGGATCACAAGTCTTATTGCCACCATCTTGTACTCGCTCTTCATCTACCGGGTTCTTATCGTCAGCAATCCAAAAATTGGGTCATGGATCGTTGACGCTTCCGAAGCAAACCTGTTGCTTTCTATATTCTCCCAGTTGTACGCCATGTTACTCTTGTTCATGCTGCAAGGTCTACTTGATGCTATGAGGTGGACACTCGCGTCGAGGGCTGACGAGGGAGGGACTTCGGCTTCGAATTTCTTTCAACTAAGCCCAGGAACAAATTGGTATTCTGTATGCAGGTTGATTTATAACAGCGGCTTTAGAAACTCGTGGGGCCTATTAAGGTACGTCGGAGAATGCCCTAGAAGAGTTGGAAGTTAATTTTTACCAGACTTGCCCTGCCATTTGTTGGCCTGGCGTTCGGATCCTTATTAAAATGTAAGTCTTATCTCCCGTCCTTGTGCGTGAAAATAAAACTAACTGTTTCTCTAGTCCAGAATACCTTTGAGTACCACTTTGTATCCGGAGAACCGACTATCGACGTCTTCGCGGGAACTCTGATTCCCGACATCACAACCCTCAGTTCGATTCCGACATCATACATGGCTGCATTCTTCGATACGTGGGCACAACAACTGAACAATTTCCCGCGTTATGCAAAGGCATGGTCGCTAAATGACTGCACAGGGGAGTGCAGTTCCATGTTTCTCCCCGGAGGGATGGAAATTGCTCGGCGTGTTGGCCCATTTCTGAACCGAACAGTTCTCAAAGATGGTACATTTGAGAATGTGGAAGCCATCAGTATCGAAAGTGCACCAGGGCTAGCCCTCCGATTTGATCCGCTGGGCGAGGATTTCAAATTCGACATCCAAACAGAGTGCAAGGCTTATATAACCATGGGCGACGGAATGCAAATGTGTCTACGGCAAATGAACGATTCAATCGCCGCTAGTAAGTTTTCAGTCACTTGAGAAAGCTCACTGACCTTTCTAATACGTGGATGAAAGGCTGGAGAGCATGTCCTACGATCCATACGGTAATGAAGACATGCAATACAATAAAATACTGGGGAACAGACCCCTTAGAAACAAAGACTTTAATGACAGTCTACCGGCAAAATGCAACGACGATCTACAGTCGGGATAGCTTAGCGATCCAACAAATTACGAAGACTTCAGAGCCCAAGATTGCATTCGTTAGTGCCCCAGACACGCGAGCAATCTGGGATCACATTTTCACGCCACGAAACAAGTCAGGCGATCTGGATTATCAATCTATCAACGTTACGCTTCACCGGCTGGCATGGAAGTACCGAACGTACTTCGAGTGGTTCCCTGATGACGATGCGCCAGTTGAGCAGCTTCAGAACTTTCTTGCTGTCCCGATGCAGTTCGGCGTTACAGCAATGCAGTATACCAACTACACAATGGCGACGCCGGCGGACAAGCGCGACTTTACCCGCGAAATGGTCACTACCGCTACTGGTGGCAAGTCAATCCAGAAGTTTGTTGGTCAAATTTGGACATCATGGACTTTTATTACTGCCGGTATATTTATAGTCCTCTCATCAGGCTCCGCATTCTGGTGGATTATCACGAGAGGCAATGTAGTGCCTAATCCCTCGGGTGTTATCGAAATTGATTTTGCCTCCAAGTTGGTTGGCACAGCAAGACAATCAATAAAGGAATCAAACCCTGATAGCGATATTGAACGGTATAGAGACATGGTTCGCGACTCTAGCCAGAGAATGGACACGGACTCTGTTTCGCTGTTCAGAGCGTTCAAGAGATGGAGGGTTGAAATTGAGGGTACTGAGAAGATGGAGCAGAAGGAGCTCCAAGACGGATATCCGTCCTTGCTGAAATTTTCCGCAGCACGGAATCAGCTAAGTGCCGATGAATCATAAGTCATTACCGGCGGGTTATTTACGAACATACATGAGATAAGGGAACCTTTTCTATTTCCGAATTTCTTTACGCAAGTCGATATCCAGGGACTGTATTTAATGAACGGTTCTTAGACCTTTGATTCTTAGTCGTGAATTCAGGTATGTTCTTGACGAAAGAGCGCAGATTTAGGGTGAAGTAACCTTTGATATTGCTGTGAGAGTGAAGTGCCATGGCTAATGTAGTGTTTTGTTGGTGAAGGTTGTTAACTTTGATGTAGGATTGGGTTGCGTAGATCGGTCAGATATTTTCACGATTGGCAACCTCGGGGAGCCTATGAAAGAGCCTAAGGCTGGATAAATTTGTTATTATGTCTGGGGGAGGTGTCATTCCATTCATGTTACTATCTTGTTAAGTAAAGCACCCTCCCCTTTTATTCTACTACAAATTCTCTCACCTAGCATAACTATCAACCTTGCAGCGTAGTTCTACTATCTTTCTCATATAGAACTAGTATCACAATGACGCCAGCCTTAGAACACGATTGTGGACTGATGCTTAATATGAGAATTGGGATGATGTAGCGACGATCGCTTTACCCCCTAATTCTTTTTGAATTTGTCTAGTTTTTCTATCTAGCTTATCAACCCAGGCAGTTGATCGCGATCTCTCCGTTGATGTTCTTTCCAGAGTGAACAGGAACCCAAATATCCGCCCAGGTCTCACTTGGGAAGAATTGAGTCTGGTAATAGTCATAGAAGGGGTAGAACAGGACCTGGCCGGTCTTGTCGCACTGGACGTCAAACGTTAAGCCTTCAGTGACAGTGAAAGTATCTTCACGGCTAATTGTGATTCCCATACTGGCCGTGAAAATATTCCATGCGCCGCCCAGCTCAATGGAGGTAGAGACGGACCATTTGGTGCTTTCTGACACCTCGTATTTATAGCCAACACCCTTGCCCAGGCGGGGGCCATACTCAACAGCACCAGTGTTGCGGACACCAATGGCAGAGAATGGGGTATTGAACTCTTTATCATCTTTGACACCATCGCGCTTCTGGTTACGTACTCGCTCGACCATCTTGGCTGGGATAGATCGCGCTTTCTGGCGAGCTTCGGCTGGCTCATCCTTTGGAGCATGCTCGGCCTTCCACTTGTAATAGGCCTCCAACGATGTCTTGCCGGATACAACTCCGCTTGAGCTTGTGCTAACATCTGTGAGGGCCGGTGTCGACTGGTCCTCGTCATTGAAAACGTCGGTGATGCTGAAGGTCTCGGTATAGGTGCCGCCGGCCCGCCATGACACGCACTTGTCGTGAACCTTGTCATAGTCTGAAGCGATTGCGCTTCCGGTGCGCTTCATGACAGCTCCAGCAGCATCATTTGACATTGTATAGCAGTGAGTGATGCGGCAGTTGCCATCATTCTTGTACCACCACTTGCATGAGGGCTGGGGGATGTTGTCCTCTCCATTCTCATGGAAGACTTCCTCGTTGTCTCTCATTGCGAAGTCAGACAGAACGGTCTCGCCTACATTTATCAGTTAGTTAGTAGACAGTAAAAAACGTGTGCCAAGTCGTCAACACTATCAGGCAAATGTGTCTGGGGTTGAAAGAGTAGCGTACAATCATCATACGCGGGCAGCCGGTACCCGTTACACTGCATCTGGGCTGCTACCAGATTAACTCCGAAAGCAGCAGCCAGGAGAATATTAACGAGTGCCATTTTGTATCGATCCAAGACGAGTCAAAATGTAGTTGAGTGAATGTAATGAAGCGAGAGAAGGGGGCGAGTCAAGACAAGACGATGCAGAGACGCAATAACAAAATCGTGTCCCGGTTGGCCCTCATGTCTTTATAGTCAAGCCCAACACATACCAACAGTACAGGGCAGGGGTCATAAAGATAAGACACAAAGTTGTTTTTGCAGACGTTGTTCACCTAGACGACGTATTTGCCAAGATCTGTCCTGGGTTCGCTGTTTGAGATCGTCAGGAGAATAGACGTTTCCACAACATACCTGGCCGCTTGTTTCAAATGTGCCCACTCTAAACAGCCGATCAGGGCTGATGGCTAAGCTTAATGCATGTAATACTTCATGTTAGGTTGCAATATGTCTCTCTTGGCATTATGCTCGTTGTCGCACATCCGATTTAAGGCGAATAAAATGGAGAAGATGAGAATCAGGAGCTTAGAGATGAGGTGAAGCTGTCTTTGTTACAAACGACATGAACAAGTGCGATTTGGAGGATCAGCTCCCTGCACTGACATCACGGCGCCAGAAGCAAAATGTAAGTCGTACCCGCTAAATGCTGACACCGCCACAAACATGGAGCAAATACCGTGAGAATTCTCCTCTTAGAATTGGATACAAGGCAGCAATGAATGCTGCTCAAGAAAAAGTTAAGCTTCAGACGACGGGTTTACACTTAAACTTAGTGTTCTTTTTAGGCTCGCCATCAGCAACCCAGAATTATGCATTTATGCTTCACGAACTAGATAAGGTAAGGTCAGGTAGTCTGACATGGAGGCTGACACAGTGCTGCTTTGAAGCTTGAACTGTGTCTTGAATTGCTTCATTCGGCAGTTGAATAACTGACGCTCATGCCAGGGCGATCGTCCAGGCGCGTGGGGTAAGACAGCTCGTTTCGGGGCCTTGAAACCAGCCATCGCCTTCCACATCAAGCACAATACATGAAACAGCCCCATTCAAAGACTGTTTTAGAGCCCTTCTAGGCATTTCGAATGTGTGGCACAGCAGATCATCAAATTCTGATGCCGCTGACTTCACTGTTGATGATCATTGCTCATGTTGAACCTGACTTTGGCTGCTGCCTGCTTTGGATTCTCACCTTAGGGCTTGTAAGAGCATTCTCAGAAGCAGGGGGGTTTACAGTTAAAGAATAATCTAATCACATCCCAAACGCAATTGAAAAATATGGTGTGGCAAGTTTGATTATGAGGAGAGTTCCTTTGGGTGACGCTCAGATCCACCACTCGTGTTCTCTTTCAAAATCTTGCGAACTATCTCACAACCTTGCCTGGCTTTCTTCATCCGTGGCAAAGGCTATCAAAATGCTTACCGCACTTCCAAATAGAATCAACAAACTCTTCGGGCACCACAAGGAATCAGACTTTCCCCGTAATAGAAGAGAAATTAGTCCCGAATTCGCCGTCACCCGGACTTCTTATTACCCCACGATAATCAATTCTCCAATTCACATATGCGGCCAACTCAAGGTTTTGCACGCCATAATATTTTCTTGCGTGTACGAAGAGCATCAAAAATCGGAGGGGGTGGGGGAGTTCCCTTGCCGAAATCTCGTAAATATCAAAGCTGCTTCGCTGTGCATTAACCATATCTACGGATCGGGTTCATAACTATGACATGGCCTAATTTCATTAACGAAGCAAGCTAAGAGAAAAGTCTCAGCATGCGATAAAGAAATTTGTCAGATTTGTGCGACATGCATGTAGCCGTAAAGTAGAGACCACTCGGCGGTTAGTTATGGAAGAGAGTTCGAGTATAGCTTTAAAAACAACAATTGAAGATGTCAGACCCGACATCTCAACACAATGAATATAGTGGTTAGTTATTTTATGACATTACGTACTCACAGGCGCCCTGTATTCAGACTAATGCGCCTCTTTTTCGGTTACGCAAACCCGGGCAATATGTTCATATTACGAGTTCGATAAACTTGTGCTCATCTGATCGCATTGCCATAGTCAATTATTCTCAATGGCCATTTTTTTTAGTCCCCTGTTACATTCTTTGAGGTGTAATCTTCGCATATAGTATCGAAGTAGAAGGGCATTTCGAGATCCCTTATGAAGTTGAAGTTCTTTCATCTCCTTATAACTACGATAGACAAAAGCACTGAAAGAAAGAGAAAAACTAAAGTAATACACAGCACCTCATAGAACTAAAATGGAAGTGAATATTATTACATGTCTTGGGCGAAAGATGGCCTCGTTTTGTCTTGGCGATGCAGTTGTATCAATGCAGTCCTTTCAACTCATACATTTCAGAAAGAACTAGGCATGGAAATTTGTACGACTCAACCGCATACTCTGCGTTTATCGGCAATCTCGCAGTCTCGAGTTTTGGGCCATCCAAGGTCATTAATATCATAATATCTTAGAAACAATAGCGAAAGGGTTGAAACATGCCCGGAGTAGCTGACGATTGTGTTTAGCTTTCTTCCCGAGCAGATCAAGTGGCTTTACTGCCTGCCCACAGATCCTCGCGTAGAGATAATAATCTGTGGTCCAAGAGATCTTCGTGCAAATGAGAAACGATTAGTGTTTCTGGTATCTGAACTTCCCTTAACATGTTGACTCTTTCCCTCCCAGCGAACCCGTGATATAAACTCCGTGAGAGCCGACCAACAAGATGTAAGGCCAGAAATTACGTGAAAACATCCAGGTTCAAGCATCATCAGATCCAAACGTGCCACATAAATCCTCGCTAGTACTTCCTTTTTATTCTCTTCGACAACGTTGTTCAAATGGGAAATACCGTACAATTATCTATCACACGAAATCATTCGACAACCTCGGTCCCTGTCAATTGCATTATGCATTAAAGCACCAGTCCAAAGTTCGATGGCAGGCAGTAACCAAAACGGGTGAATCGGCGCGTGGGTCGCCGATGTCCCAATGAAGCAGGTGATGAGAACGCAGCTAAGAAAAGGGAACCAAGCCCGGCGAGCGACCGACACGTGAAGACTCTTCGGCGAGTGATTCGGCGTTGCGTCTAGAAGCCGGTTCCAGAAAGCTAAACGGGACTGGTGGTTGTATTATCAGTGCATCTGAGTGCTCATTTATGCAGGAACGGAACGTCTTTTTCATTGATTGGGCAAGCTCCTCTTCTCTGGCCCCATTGATAGACAAACCCCAATATGATAACCCCTGTAATACGACGGACATCGGCTGTTGATTAGGTATGGAATGTCACTCCATTGGTGACTCCAGCCACCAAGCGTAGAGAGCTTCCAATCAAGTATACGAAAAACAATCAAAAGCAAGGCAAAAGGCGCCAATTGCTACCTTATCTTCAATTAGGCAATAAGACCGTGACCTAGTCCAAGAAGATTCCATATAGAGGGTAGCATCTTATACCTTTTTTCCTATTCCTACCCAATCGAAAAGGGTTTCCAAGACGCGTGGATGCGGTTCTTTCTGCCCAGTGGCCCGGGCATGTCCATTCTGTCGTCGTCATGCGAATAATTTGATGCTACCTCGACGGCAAGTCATTCCCGACTACTTGAACTCGACGTCTCCTCGATCAATTCGACTCAATTCCTGAATTCCATCACAAAGAGAGGCGAAAACATTTTCCTCTTAATTAGTACACATCGATATCGCAGAAATATGCTCGGGCAGTCTTTCTTCGCTTTCGCCGCGTGCGTATCCGGTGCTGCTGCTGCATCCGGTTCGTTTAGCTTCCTCACAATAAATGTTGCCGGCCTGCCAGACTGGATAAACGACAATGGTGTACCGGGCGACAAGACGACCAATGCCAAATCAATCGGTACCCATCTTTCCGAGCTGAATTATGATATCATTCACATGCAGGAGGACTTCCAATATCACGCCGCCATCTACTCGACTGACACCCACCCATACCGCACTCCTACGTCTGGAACAATTGTTTTTGGCTCAGGGCTGAACTCGGTCGCCAACTACGATTGGACGGGCTTTACTAGAGTCACTTGGAACAAGTGTAATCTGAATGACGGCGATTGCTTGACCCCCAAGGGATTCACATACATGCGAATGACAATCCAGGGTGTTGAGGTTGATCTTTACAATCTCCATGCGGATGCTGGGTATGTTTGCTACATTTCCACGCTATGACTAAAAAGACTGACAATGAATGCTTGAATAAATAGATCCGATTCCGGCGACGTCAGCGCTCGCTCTGCAGGAATCGATCAGATCCTTGCCTACGTGAACGCCAACTCTCAAGGTCGCGCCGTTATTATTGGTGGCGATACCAACGATCGCTGGACCAACTCCGGAAGAAGCATCAACAAGCTCACAGACGCGGGATTCACCGATCCATGGGTCCAGCTTATCAAAAAGGGTACCTATCCTACAGCCGGTGCTGCAGCAGATGCTTGCGGCAACCCAGCTGACGATAATGACTGTGAGATTGTTGACAAAATTTTGTGAGTAACCACTCGTCTTTCATTTGCCCCTGAGAGAACAATTGCTTACTTGCGTGTTTAGCTTCCGTTCTGGCAGCTCGGTTAAGTTGAGCGCAACTTCATTCAGCTATGTTGGGAGCAGTTTCTTGCAGTCGGATGGCAACATCTTGACAGACCATAACCCCGTTCTTGTCAAATTTTCATTCACATCCTGAGTATGGGGTTTTATATTGAGTAGGTCGAAGTATACCACCACGTCACTGAAGAAACTTCCCAACTTCTTACGACCACCTGATAGTTAGACTACCCTGTAGTCCACCGTAACTCGGTTCAGTCAGTTGAAAAAGGATATCTTAGTTTAGGCCCTCAATAATGATAATATGCTACTAAGCTGGGGTTAAGGCTTTCTAATGATTACGTTTCAAAGGATTCCACGCAGTGAATGTACCCCTACGTAGTTTCCTGGTCAATGGTTTGAACAATGTATTTGCCAGTAATGTTTGTTTGTCTGCATAGTAGTTCTACGCCCCAGCCGTTAAACCAGAATACATATGTCTAGCTACAATAGATCTAAGAGCGAATCCATCGACTCATAAGATCTATGTAAACAACTAACATGTCTTGTGTTGTTGATATTGCCTCGAGGAAATTCTGGTCGAGAGTGATGTGATAATCATAATCACATGGCGCGAGAGGTAAGCACTACTGCAACTAGTCACATAGACGATCCCACAATGAAACGCGGATGCTCCAACCAGACCCAGCATCTTACGGCTTGCCAAGTCCGTGCGTGCTTTGATGGGTCTCAGAATGAAATTGCCCGTCCGGGGCCGCTCTCATCTCGAATCAAGTGCCGTAGATATGGTCGCCGACCAGTGCCGAACCCATGGCACGCTAGGCAGGGCTGGGCTTGGGCTTTGTGAGTTTCGTGCTGGTTAAAACCGCCTTTGCCCCTAATTGTGCGTCCCTTGTTCCCTTTCCCGTACTCCGCATCTTAACCTCCTGCCAACAATGGGTTGCTCTTGACTGAACCTACCGCCCTTGGTTTGAGCGAGGGCTGCGAATAGGGAACATGAAGCTGCTGCGCGGCTTGACCGCTCTGGCGCTTTCTGTAGGTTTTTGTATGTTTTCGCGTGGTCGCTAGGACGAATTACGCAGCCTAGTTCAACTTCTAACGACTCCTCCCAGATCCGACGGGTTCATCTGCAGGACTATCCTACACCACGGGGAACAACCAAGATATCAAATTTCGATGGGAAGTGAGCACAGAATCCAACAATGTCTACTTCAAACTCGACGCGCCCGTCGCCTACTCGTGGGTCGCCCTCGGCATCGGCAACAGCATGCAGACGGCGGAGATATTCCTCATGTATCAGGACGGCGAAGGGAACGTGACCCTCAGCACGCGAAAGGGACGAAACCACATCATGCCCGTATACGAGGAGAGATCTGGCGTTGAACTGATATCGGGGTCGGGCGTCTTGAACGACAGGATGACGGCCAAAGTTCGATGCAGCGATTGCAATAAACTCGACCTGGAAGG